ACAAAAGACCCCCGAAAAAAACACATCAGAAAGTCTGGGACCTTGGTAAAATGTACGTAATAGCCCTCCTGTTGTAGGGCACTGCACGTATGGAATGTGTGCCCAGGGTCAAAACGTAAAGGTTCCCAGCAATTACCCGGGCTTAGCTCGCCCATGTTTATAAAGAGTGAATGGGTAGTATGTATTGGAGAACATAAACTGACCCGAGCCTCTCAGAACATGTCTAATGAAAGACGTACAAAAGGACTGAGCGTGCTGAATATAACTTTGTAATTTGTACCAAATGACATGTGCACAGTGGTAATCCTTGTTATGTGCGTAAAGCCACGATTACATCGAGGGACCAGTGTCCACACCATGTTTGTGACACAATGACTCTTTTGTTGACATTTCTTCTTCAAAGAAATAATTTAAGTTCTAAAAAACTAGGGTTTAAATATGAGATATAAACACTGTCACTGAATTTGTAATCCAAACAGTTTCAGTTCAAAATTGCTCTTACTGAAGACTAAAACAGCTAATTGCTGTCGTCACCCTTAATTGATAGTGTGCTTAGTTCACAAGTGCAGCTACACACATTAGGGCAGGAGAGGAAGTTAGAGGATACTTGATTTCAGCCCAAATTGGGTGTATTTCATAGGCTTTATTAGTAGTCTTGTGAGTAGAATTATTTGTCATGAATTCAAAAAAAAAAGTCCACCGTTGTCATGAATCCATCATCAGCACAACTTATGCTGGCCTTTCACCAAATGACTTTTCAAGCAATTATACTGTTGCAGGCAAATTTCCAGCATGTAATATAATCATGCGAGTTTTACCTCTGTTGGTGTGTGCTTTCATGATCTTGATCTCTTGGTGTATATGTGTGTGGTGGTCATAGTAAAACTCTGTCTGAGCTGTCTTCAGTCAGTGTTTGTCATGCCTTGATGTTCCTCCAAAATCGAACATGTTCAATATTATTGTAAGTTTTTAGTCTTGGCTTATGCAAATGGTGAAGTTCAATGCCATGAACACTGCAAACAACCAGTATGCTCTCTCCAGCACCAAACAGGAAGTAGCAAACCAGGTATACAGTAAACATGGAGGAGACTCTGCAAGGCACAAGAATGCCATATTGAATATGCTGTGTATCTGATCCAACACCCAATGCTTATTTAAGTGAGAAATCTTAAATTTTGAAGTGGTTGGCCTCCCATTCTCACAGTCTTTTCCCACTAAAAAACACAGCTAACCAACGTAGGATGGTGGCAAGTTGAGGCAACAAAATCCAAAATGTAAAGTTTCTACGCAAATACAGTTTATCGTTATCGATTATATTAAATTGACCCTGAATTGACAAGAATACTGTCAACGTATGTGCCTTATATCTTGTGTTTCTACAGGTATGCGTTTTTGCAGACACTTAAGGAACTGTCATTTTTCTCAAAGGGAGTTAAGCATAATATTTTCCACCTAGAGGAGTGTGGGAAGTCACCTTTTTAAAAAGAATCTAGCTGTAGTCTTGCAAACAAGGGCAACCTCCAGGGCTGAAAAATGAAGCCAACACTGAAGTGCTAAAAACTGCAGTTCTTAGAATATCCACTTGAGGCTGGCTCCTGAGGTCAGTCAATCCCCATAGACCCCCCCCCCCCCCCGTGTTAAAATGCCCAACTCTACAACTGAAATAAACATGTTTACAGCCAAAAAATCAGTTTGGGCGATGGCTGACATGCCAGACTTGAGGCTTCAAAACAAGAATCCACAAACTAATGGGTGATTTCATGGTAGTTATGTCCTTTATTTTACAGTCTATGCTTGCAAATAGTAGGCCTGTTTCCACTGAAGAAGTTCCTGGTACAATCTGGGGGGCAGGAACTACTACAGGAACGTCCTCTCGCTCGGCTCTCTCAACCGCCGTGTCTCCACTGAGTGGATTACGAGGAAGGTTCCTGTAAAGTTACGGGCTGCCTCTGGATATGACGTAATCGTTGCGCGACCATTTTGGCGTAGGGACGCCGTTAGCCGATAGCGGTGTCTGTAATAACTCACTAAATGGCCTGTGAAAAAAATATTTTTTCCAGCGGATGTCTTAGTTACAACATGATTGAGCTAACTGTAGTAGTTTCATGTCGTATCCGACAACGGGAGGCTTTTAACAGATGACGTCCTGATGTTAGCTTTGCTGCTGCTGTTAGCTGTCCCTGTCAGCTGCAGCCACTGATGCTTTCTAGACATCGTGATTTCCCATAACTGAATAAATACCACACATATCAACACAAAACTGCTTTGCTAGCTCAATCATGTTGTAACTAAGATATCCGCTGGAAAAAATATTTTTTTCACGGGCCATTTAGTGAGTTTTTTTTTTTAAATGGCGGCGAAAGCTATATGAACGAGCTAACCCTCGTCTGCTGAGTTTTAAAAATGCCGGCTATTTTGTTGCTTTCTGTTGACGTCACATCCCTCCTTGAGTATATCCAATCAGCACCAAGTAATCCCCAAGCCCCAGCCAGGAGTCTTTCAGGGCGTTCTGAGTACCTACCCCGAGGCAGGGACTTGTTTAGCCCCTGTAAAAGTTCCGGGACTCTGTCCTTCGGGGGTGGTTCCTGCGGTGGAGACACGCACCAACGGCCCCGGCCCCGGCCCCGTAAAATTACCCTGAAGTTCCTGCGGTGGAAGCGGGCCTAGTGACTCCGCAAGATCCCAGGTCTTTGCAAAATCTAGTTACATGTATATGATTACACACAAATGCATGTCCTCCACTTTGTCACCTTTTGGATATGAAATAAACAGAGGCTTTATTTCTTATCTGAAGAGCCCTCTTGTTCTTTGTCAGTGTTTGGGTGTTTAGAGACCGTCACCTTGGCTGCACACACCTGATACTATTTCATGGTAAACCTGGACCTGAAAGAGCAAACATTTCCGCATCCCTTATTGAAATTTTCCATGAGAAAAAGTAAGGTTAACACAAAGCACACTATAGAAATAACATGCTGGTTGGATTTTTCATGGATTAATGTTTCTTCAGGATGTGATTACCACAGCTAGATTACATGTTGCTTACCTGAAATACTGTAGTTCGACTTAATACATCTTGATGCGTTCGTTATTTTAGTTTGATATCATCAGCTGTTTTTCCATAATGTCACAATGTCACATAGATGATTTTAATTGTCTGCTGTGACATCTCATCACTCAAAGGTCCACTTGTCCCAAACCTTTAATCTTTATTACCAAAGTTAACACTACACCAAAAATAAGTCTGAAACAAAGAGCGAGTGTTTTTATGGTTGGCTGGTTGACTCGCAGCCATGATACTGACTCAAAGGTCAGCAGAGATTAAGAGAACACGGGGGAGAAGAAGATGAGGAAGGGGAGAAAAGGTCTGGTTTCACTCGCAGGTGGCTGTCAAGGATGTTTACCTGAAGAGACCCATATCTCTTGTCGCTCCCAAATTAGAAATGAACAGAAGTTTGGTTCACTCCGACAGATATCAAGTGGCGACCTTGACTATCCAAACAGGCTCCGCTGTTATTATGTCTACCTCTGTCTTCATATGGGATTTCACTCTTGCTTTTATTGGGACTGAGAGACCTGCTTTGCAAGTCCAACATGGATGAAGTACTTTTAAGAGGCACCTGAGTCTTATTCCAGATGTTTGACAATGGAATTTAAAATGCTAGAGATAAATATTATACATTGAATGACTCATTTTTTATTGCGAAAAGACCTAAATTTAACTTGAGACCGACAGGAACATTTTTCTCTGCGTTTAAAATTATATACATTTCTAAACTGTCACTTAAATATTTGGCTCCATCGCCACAAAATTCCAGTCTGACTGTTTATGAGGGTTTATTGCAGGTAGATGAGTTTTTTCTCTCTTTCTCTCAGCAGGGATATAAAACAGTGCTTCAGGGTGCAGGCAGGTATGTGTACATTCTGTACCCTAGAGCTTTCTCATACCTGTTCAAGGCAGCCATAAAAACATGATATGAACCTACAGTAGTGACATCAAACAAGGCTTAAAACCATTTAGTGCTGAAAGGCCCACGGCTGCTTTGACTTCTCATGCTAGGTGCCAGAGATACGTATCACCTCAGCTGGAGCCGCTTGGGCGCAGTTTTCACGGTGCTGAGTTAAGATCTCATTTTGGAAAATTACCTTAAAATGACATTTAACTGTTTCAGCAAACTGCTTTTGGAGTCTACCTGTGACACACAGTGCTCTAAGTTTAGTTAATTGTACATATCTGACAAGTGTTCGTGGTAATGTTGGTTTTTTTTGGAGCCGCAGTGAAAGTGCAGCCTTCCAGCAGTGGATTTTACTGGACGGTTAAATGCAGCTATATCCTGGGAATGTCCCTGAAGCTGGAAGTTGTTCTGGGAGATTCCCACAAGCCAACAAGGGCAATTCCCCGACTTATTTATCTGTTCTCTGCCGAGGCTGGGTTACAGTGCTCCCACAGCAAAGAGATGGATCTAAAGAAAAGAAACACAGAGTCCAGTTTCCTGAAGTTAAGGTCATCTTTTCCCGATGGTTTTCAACAAAACAAAGACGGTGTTTATGGTTTGGGAAAGTGCGGCTGCAGTGTCAAGTCATCTCAACAAGAGTGATATGATTTCTGGGCCCCATGCAGAATACCAACCGTGGGAATTCCAGGCTTGTCTGTGTGTGTAGGAGTGAGAGGATGTTAACTTTGCACTAAAAACAGACTATTCTGACTGCAGGGAAGGATATTTTGGCATTTTCTAGAGCAGAAATATTTTTTCTTTGTTTGGACAGCTGCATAGTCAGATCTGCAAAATCCTGTTCCAGTGTTTGTGAAGCTCTGGCTCAAGTAGTTTTAATGAGCATTTAATTCTGGTCATTCAAGGTGGTACTGCAAATTAAACCTTGTGGAAAATTACCTATTAATGTCGTAAAAATGTGTCTGAGATGAAAGCTCAATTACATCTTAGGCAGATAAAGTGATGGACTCTGTATCTCTGCCCAAAAAAAAAAGACTCACAGTCCACATGTGAATGTAAAATAATATACTTTATTATGACCATACATCTCTCAGGATCAATACAAAGCACTTTTTGTTTTGTTTAGTGATGTTTTCCATGTGATATTTTCTCTCCAAAGGACAAAGAGGACAAGACAGAAAGATTAATCTCTCTAAGATGTAACACAGAAAAATGATGCAGGTGTTTGTTGATATATTCTGTTAAAAAAAGGAGAGGAAATTACGAAAAAAAAGTGTACTGTATTTCTTTGAGCATCACTCAGAGGGCTTCCTCATAAAAACATCCCAGTCAAACTCCATCTTTGAAGTGTTTGTAGGCAGAAATCAGCAGCTGAAGAATTTCCAATTTAAAAACATAATCTAAGTGATGCTCTCCATGTTGGTTTCTTTACTGTAAATGAGGCCCTGGTTGTTTTTGTGTTGCCTGGGCAGACAGATGGTTTGAAAGGAACCCTGCTGAAAATCACGTTCACCACACCCGCTCAGAGTGACAGCAGCAGCCACAGCTTCACCACCATGAAGCAGCAGGACTGTGACAGATAGCATGCTGGAGGGTGGGGTGTGCAACAAAAGAGAAAAATAAAAATGAAAAATATATAAATAAAAATGCAAACATTACATCAATTGTGCATCTTCAAGCCTATTCTAATATCTGTCTCTTAAAACAAATGTTAAATTTTGGAGTTTTACAGCTGAAACTGTCTCGTGAAATGATCATATTTTTTTCCATTTGTTTTAAGACGATGTTTTTAGAACAAGACTGTAGATGCCAATTTGAGATGCAAATGTTTGGTAGCTGAAATAAATGGCCATATTCCAGGATGATGGTGAGTACACTGTATATTTATAGAGAAAAAATACAATTTGGAAGTGTCCCGAAGCAAATCACTGTCTGCCTTTCAGTCCTCTGAAGAAAAGCTTGACCAGTGCAGTCATCCATCTATTGGAGGAACAGGGTGACGAACAAACGAGCATACATTACAAAATAAGTCTTTTTACACATAAATAGTAAATACAAAGGCAGATGAGAAAGAGCCTTGTTTATGTCAGTAAAGCTTTTGACCATGCAACGTTCAGTACCTTAAAAAAAAAAAAAAAAATCAAAACACCAATAATCATGAACACAGCTTAGTCCACCAGAGACACAAAACAATGTCAAATATATACACAATACAATAAAAATAACAATATCACTTTTTCTGCAAGAGCACGATTTTATCATATATTTTACAGCTAACGTTGTACCATTAGTCCAGCACATTAAGATGTGTACAGGTAGCTTGAAGGAGGGGGGAAAGCGACTATTGCTACAACACTACGAGGTCATCAGAAGTATTTAAATACGCCATTGAAATAGAAGCTGTAAAAATAATATACTCCGAATACATTTATATAATTATATACATATACATATAGGTTAAATACTGATCATTCTGAATCCCTGGATTGCTGAAAACGTCCTTTGTCGATTTAGGCAGCTAGCTAAGTTGTACTAACTGAAGCCCTCCGCTAACAGTTTCCACTGCTGCTCCAAAAATTGTGCTTCACATTTACGCTTTGTCTGTTTCACGGTTTTGCCAAGAAGCTGCGAGAAGCAGGAAGGTGACTGATTGGTGGTATTTGACGTAATAGCTCAACATCTTGAGAAATTTGCTTGTTTGAGTTTCTTGCAGAGGAAGAAGATTGATAGCACTCTCACTCTAATGTTAGCATGGCATAAAGACTGTACATCAGCACAGGTTAAACTAACAACATGTAATGTGTTAATTGGTGAGTTTTAGCTTGTAAGTTGTTTCTTCTTCTTCTTCTTCTTCTTCTTCTTTTTGTCTTTTAACGGCAGTTGGCAACCAGCGTATTAGGTGCACTACCGCCACTTGTAAGTTGTTTGTTTTGCTATGGACGCCCAATTCTGCTAATGTGATGGATCCTGGAAGTCATTAAAATGAGAAACTTTCTCGAAATAATGATTTAATAGGCAATTTCAGAATGAAAAACAATATGGCCGCTATTTTGAGAAAGCTTATTATTTTAAGATAAGTCATTATGTCAAGAAAATTATTTTCAGACAATTTTTTCTTATCTTACAATACTACATTGTTATTTTGAGGTTTTTTAGTCACATTGGCAGAAATGGGCTTCCAGATTATCTCCCTGCTTCCAGTCTTTACGCTAAACTAAGCTATGCTAAGCTAAGCTAAGATAAGATAAGATAAGCTAAGCTAAGCTAATGATCTTCTAGCTCTAGCTTAATATTTAGCAAATTAACATGAGTGTGGTATCAATCTTCTCATCTAACACTTGGCAAGAAAATGAATAACCACGTTCCCCAAAATGTTGGACCATACCAAGCCTAAAGTGAATATGATGCCACATGAAACACACTGTCTCTGTTTTTACTTGCCTGCTTAAGTTCAAATACATCTTTACTGTACAGCTTTCTGTGAACAGAGATAAGAGTGTTATTATCCAATTCTGACAGGTGTACGCATGCCTGTACATGGGTGTCTATGAACATCTCACACAATGCGGAACGTAAAATAAATTTCAAGCCATATTCTTTCATATTTATCTTTAAGAGGAGGTTTCAGTGGCGGCTGTTTCTCAACTCTCGACTCAGTCCACAGTCCATATTATTTACTGCATGAACTATAATGACAATCTAAACTACTGCCTGCCTCATAAGTGCATTATTGTTGTACAACATTTAGTGTTTCATACCTCAATAGAAAAGCTCTCTGCTGCCTTAAAAAAAAGGAAATCCACCCTCAAACAGAATGTACTCTGGTTCTCCTGTGATCTTGGTTTGTATTACTAAACACTGTGTTTACATGCTCAAAAATATACGGTAGGAGCTAGAAACTACTAGAATTCAGAAACAAATCCCAGAGTTTTCCCCTTAAGAATTAGAGACCAATGTTCTGGACAATAACAGTGAGGTTCAAGAAAATACTAGAACATAGTTCTTTCACTGCCAAAGTGATAGAGGGCCTGGCTCGACTGTAAAACCGACATGATTTTGTTTTCTATGATTAGTTTTTATTAATGTAATTACCTAATTACATATTTTTGTTGGAAACCAATTCTTAATTGAAAGGCCTAATGCATCCCAGATTTATTCCTACCACTGCATAGATGTGGAAGTGTCTAGTGTCCAAATGCTGCTTCACCATAAGAATTTTTTGGCAAGCACTGGGATGTCTTGGTAAGAAAATGGTCAATTTTAAAGAGTCTATCTCTAACTTTTCTCTACAAATGTTGGCGTCAGTATCACTGCTTAAAAGCTTGCATGCATAAAGCTCCATAGTACCAAGGGTGGATTCATACCTGCTAAAAAACAAGATACACTGCAGCCTTTGTCAACGTGAAACCAGCTCTTCATGACATCATAAAGGTTTTCCTATTGGTTGTCAACACTGTATCAAGATCACAGGAGGGAATGCATTTCATTTCAGGGTGGATTCTCCTCTTGACGTACCACCTTCACACAATTAAGGCACCTTTTAAACCCCTGAGGGGTCAATGGGTTCTTCTAATAAGAAGAGAAGCAACAATAACAACATGGAACACAGAACCGGACTGAGACAAACCAACAACATGAAGTAAGACAGTCGACAAAATAAAAGCAAAAATAAAAACATTAGGGAATGTCTATGGGTAAGGTACAAATGCCAGAAGTGCCCCGTTGCTTTTCTTCTCATCTCGTCCTTTTTACAGCAGCACCGCACCAACAATACAGGGTCTCCATGGAAACACTGTGGCTGTATCCTGAAGCACCTTGATCGGTAAAGAAGGTCTTCTCCCAACCCTATTAGGCTTTATGAGTGTGTGATTGGATGTGTGTGTGTGTCACTGTCGCAAGAGTCAGTATCCGACGTTGAGCTTGTTCTTGTTGAGCTCTCTCTCCAGATTTCCTATCAGAGTGTCGATGCTCTCCTGCAGGTCTCTCAGGTTGACCCTGTTGCTTAGCACGGGGCTGATATCCTGGATCTTCATGTAAGCCTGGTAGGTGTGCTCTTTGGGCAGGCGAGGAGGCAGGATGTGGTCGCACACCCTCTCCTCCTCCTTGTCCTCTAATGGCTGCCCATTGCCTGAACTATCACTCTCTTCTTGCTTCTCCTCCTCCTCTTCCTCCTTTTTGTCCTCCTTCACCACCTCCTCTCTCTGAGGTTGCTCCTGCTCAGCAGGATCAGACGCGGGGCTTGTGACCATCTGCCCTTTATCTTCCTCTGCATCCTCAGGCTTCTCCTGAGTCTCCTCAGCTGCCTCCGTGTCCTCAGAGGGCACATCATCATAGTCCGCCTCCTCTTTGCTGGGAGGCAACAGGATGTCACAAGGGAAGTAGCTCTCGCCGCAGCCGCTCCAGTCACCAGCATAGCGGTTGCTGGGGCTGTCCAAACGTCCTGGCTTGGGCCGCAGAACACCCGCCATCTCGGCTTCAGAGAGGTTCAGGACCTGGGGACGCTCTTTTTTCCGCCGTAGGGGAGGAGCTGACAGCAGGTCAGATGAGGCTGGAGCCACAGAAGCTGTATGGGGCTGGGAGGAGGATCGGCCATGTGGGTCCACAACTGGAGGAGCAGACAGGAAGAGAGACAATCAGGAGTTAGTCAGGTGTATAGGAGCCATCTGGACTAATATAAATAAATAAATGATTCGACATTTTGGGAAATATGCTTATTTCTTGTCTTGCAACTTGTGATTTGAGAGGATCATGTGTTTGAATATTATTCTGTGCAGTAATTATGTTGCTACAGCCAGCAGCAGGTTAGCTTAGCTTAGCATAAAGACTGGAAACAAGGACACAGGTAGATGTGATATTAAGTCGATTTTTTTTAATATTGGAAAGAATATTTCCCAAAATGATGAAGTATTTGTTTAAAGGGTTAGTTCACTCAAATTACAAAAGAAAAAAACAACAACAAATATCTCTATTTATTCTAATCTATTCATTTATTACAGCTGTAAAATTATTCATTTTTAGTACAAACGCAATTAATCACATTTTTTATCGCTGGTAATGCCATATTAAAAGGTGAAGCAATTCTCACCAGTGTTTTCATTGGGAATCACATGAATACAAATAAATTTACTTTATGATCTTTACTTTCAGATTAATTTCTTTCAAATCAGTGCTGCTACAACACTGATCGAAAAGACAAAATAGCAGCACACAAGCAACTCTCTGGGACCCCCATACTGAAGACCCATTTTTTCTTTTTTGGGGGGAGCAGGGGATCTTTTCGGGGAGATAGCACATCAACAGTATTTCCTACACAGATGTAGTATATATCACCTGAAAGCTGGAAACTTTCAGGATTGATCTATTTGAGATGCAGCTCAGCACTGTGTCTTGTTTTTCTAGTCATAAATCTGTAATAAAATTGTATGCAAACAAGTGCATAGTTTGTGCCCAAAACTGTATGGGACTAACATAAAGTGGGCATGTCTGTAAAGGACAGATTTGTGGGTACCCACAGAACCCATTTTCATTCTGAGATCTTGACGTGAGAGGTCAAGGGACCTCTGTGAAAATGGCCATACTGTTTGTCCCTCAAAATGTTTTTGTCTTAACTTTGAAGCGTTCTTCTAGCCTCATATGATACCAGTCTCATAGCTCTAGCTTTAAAACTCAGCCATCTTTAGCCTCTGACAGACAATTTGCCCAAGTTTTCAGATATCTGTCACCACCCTAATTTTCATAGTGACTATTTTTTTGGTTAATGAGTAGTTCCAGTGAAAACTATGGAAAGTCACACAGGAATCTCAAAACATAGGCATAAAAACTAACACTATATGCAGAGCAAGATATCACAATATCATAAGTGACAATTTTTTTCTTTTTGGTAATTTGTGTGAACTGACCTTTTAAGTGTTACAAGTCACCCCCTTTGGTGACTTCATGGTCAAACTAACATTTAAAGGCATGCTTTGAAAACAAAAAGCCTTTTTCTGATAACAAAATTGAGCTCACATGTTTATGTGAATAAACCTCTATTAGGGCAACAAAGATATCTGGATAAGCCAGCAATAACTTAATTAGATTGTGCGAGCCCTGATTAATGACACACGCCCCACCAAATACAATCTGAACATGCCATGCTGTGCTCAAAGTCAGACAAACACATGCTGAAGTCACACCACCACACTCTGTGCCTTCGATGCCATCCTTCTGTACTATTTGTTATCAACTGTTGACTGAACCACACTTAAAAATTAACTAAACTGAAACCCTGTTTGCACATTATGAAAGAATATCTGACTGTGCCACCAAAAAAGGAACAGCGAGCACTCCAACACAACCAGCACAGTCCGGTTACCTGTCTGTCTTTATCTGTGTGTACCTACACTTGTTGACACCGCTAGCTCTCCCTTACTGGATTGAAAGGGAGCAAACAAAACAAAAGGTGTTAAAAGCTATGGCTGTAAGTCACGTACAACAGGTTAAAGGTTTCAAATATTATCTTTACCCCCCCCCCCCCCCCCCCCCCCCCCAAAAAAAAAAGAAGATGACTTATGTTTACTCCATTTCATTTATCAGGATTGGCAGTTGCTGATGCAGTACTTAGGTGCAGTGGTTGCACGCCTTGCAACTCTCCTGAGGCTAAAGACTCAAGCAATTATCACTTAAAACAAACAGAAATTATGCTCCTTTAAGAGACAACATGTTATTTAATTTCAGACATGATTCACTGATGACAGGATTAGAGTCATTAGCCGTCAGCAGAGAAAATGAAGGCAGGAATCAGACAAAAATACTGCTCCTCGTGTTACAGTCGGCAAAATTGACTTTGCTTTGTGCTGATTTTCTTCTTTATCCCTGCAGACAAGCAGAGTAACAAACAGCGCACACACGCTACACGCACAGACATCCTCCTCTTCTGCCTAATCAAATTTGCTCACGCTTACAGTTGATAATAATTCAAACCAAACACACAGCCTCTTCAACACACATATGCTCTCTCTCATTACACTACTTGGAAATAGCATCGCTAGTATCTGATGCACTTGTCCAAAGACATGCACACTTGAGCAACAATGTTGTGTGAGAGAGGCGTGAAGATGAGGCTGAAAATATCCCATAATGGTTGTGAAATTTTAGGGTGAAGCTTCAGGGGCTCAGGGCTAAGGTTAAGCCTGGAATGTCATTAATTATAGTCCAGGCGCGTTACGCTCTGAGCTGGGGAACAGGACAGAATGGAGATGTCACTGAGGGCGTAAACAAAGGCTTGAAACTGGACTGAGGGCTTCGTCAAGGTTATTACAGGTCATTATAGGCACTAGCTGGGTGACATCAGCTGCAGACAGGAGTGCAGAACAAGTGCAGGCTGCTACTGACGAAACCACTTGACCCCATCTCCCTCCCTAATTATCTGCAAGTATGCTCTGTCCACTGAGAGAAAAATGTCTTTGCACTTGTTTAACTTTTGAAATTCCCCTTGTACTTCACCCAGCTACCTGCAATTATGGGATTCACAAATGCTGACTTATTTACTTGCTGCTTCCCTCCGTGTCTGCTTCTGTTAAGGAGGGTGGAGGATGCTCGACTTCAGCAGTTCACACAGACTTGGTCCAATGTGGGACATTGAGGACGCAGTTTAATTTAGAAGCCAGACCAGACACAGAGTCAGTTCTTCTTCAGACACCAATCAGCAGATCTGGTTTAAGCTGCAGGTTACGAGGAGAGTTTTGAGGATTTGAATCTTTCGGGGATAAAGTCTGTCCGACGTGATGTTAGGAAGACTTTGAAAAGACTATTCAAAATACAGCATGCATGTGAATTTTGAAGAATGTGTGCCTGGAGACACACTGACATAATGAGACAAAGTTAAAAGAAAATCACAGCACTCTCAAAAATAGCTTACTTTCAATTAAGATACAGTAAGCAGGCTTAGATTGATGACCGTGCAGATTTAAAATTGGATTTAAATGTTTTTTTAACAGCCTCATCACCTCAATGTTTATAAAAAAATGCTTTTTCAGCTGAGGAAAGAACAGGCAACCTGCCAGCTAGTAATAAGGTTATGTCCTTTAATAGCAGTAATGGATTTTCTCACAGCCTTATCTTTTCAACCTGCGTGTAGGCAAAGCGCACTGGGCAATTTTGTAATGTTTGTTTAATTTTTCACAGCAGCTGAGACTTGAACTGCGCCACAGCAGCCACTGAATGGCTCACATATTGATTAGAGACGCGGTGAACACAAGGTTTAAAAAATGAAACGCCTAAGGTTAAGAAATATCAAATTAGTCCCTGTGACCAATACGAATTTTCCCCCGCCTGCAGCTCTTTTTCATCATTCCCAACTGCCTCCTGAATAATCTTTGGGTCCCTTCATATCTCACACTGAGCAGACAGCTGCAGCTGGCACAGAGCAGCTGTGCAGGCAGACAGATGACCTGTGTGTGAGGGAGGCTAGTACTGGGTATCTGTCCTTGGCTGGTGATTTATCTTAAGACAGGGCGCCACGCCTCAAAAGTTTGGTTCACATTGGGGCTTACTGGCTTGGCTCTGATTGGCTTAGCCCGCTGTGATGAAGCCCTATGTGGAGAGTTTCATCTCTGAGGAGCCAACAGATGGTGGCCAATGGCTATCAGCTGTGCTTGTGCCAATGGTGGATAACCTCAGGGATCAAAGCAGCCCAGCTCTTTAACAGCCCTTTGTGGAGCTGAACCGCAGAGTTGGCACTGATTTGTACAAGACCCTCAAGCATGCAGGCCGAGAGGCTGGTATAGACTTACAGACATACGTGATCTGATTATAAAAAAGAATGTGTTTCAAAAACAATTACATGGTAGAACTGTCTTTCCGTACTGTCTTAAAGCTAACATTTATTCTCTAATTCACCTGGCCAGAGCTGCAGCAGGTAGTGCAGGACTTCGATGTGTTTTTTGAAGTGCAGCGCGCTGGCCAGCTCCTCGGAGTCGATGAAGACTCGGTTGGTGTGGCAGGACGCGTCCTGACGCTGGCTGAGCAGCACCGGGCCGAAACACACCGCCAGGTTCTGACATGTCATCTTGTTCACTTCTTGGCAGGATGCTACCAGCTTTAGGTGGTCAAGAAGCTTCTGCAGTGTCATCTGATGCACACACACACACAAGCGGGCAAACACAGACAAATAAGACATGTTATTATTATGATTAGTAGTTGTAGTAGTACCACTGGTAGCAGCAGAACTACACTGCAAAATCTAGCTTATGATGCTATTTACAGCAGTAAACATCTACATTTCTGACAAGACATGGAGAAAATTTATGCCTTTAACAAACAAAGTGAGTCATCAGTACCAGCATATGGCTACACTGTAGCCCCAAATTACTGGCCATTGCCTCATGAGACATCAGCAGTCGGTTTGACAGCCACTAAGTAACAACAAATTGCAGTATGCTATGGTTGAGGTAGTTTACAAACAGTGTCATCATTACATAGTTTATCTTTGGTCACAAAGGGATTCTCAAAAATACTCTTTTAAGCTGTATTTGTGTGTCATGAAAAAAATACATAGGCTGACATATTGGGTTGTTGCCTCAAAAATCCAGTATGACTCAGACTTTAGTTTTAATTTTGTATCCTTAATCAATAATCTGAAAACAGTTCAATGACAGTGAAAAGGTGTTGGAGAAAATTACAGCAGTATAGTCTTGCAGACTGAATGCCTCCACTAATATCCCGCAATGTGAAAGCCTACGTAACAGCAGTAGCATCATCATCATGACCATCATCATCATCTATGCCACAATTATCCCTTTCAAAACCACTTCTGTGATACTATCCGAGCACTATGATGACACTGACAGCCAAATGAGGGATGCACAGCCTTACTCACCCTCTCCACATCTGGCAGGTTGTCCAGCAGGCTGACAGTGTGCTCCGAGTCGGCTTGGTCGTTTTCGCAGCCCGCCGCTCCTATCCGCAGAGGCCTCGTGGCCATGCACTCCAACACTGCCTCATACAGTTGCTTGGTGATGAGAGGGTAGGGCAGCTCTCGCAGGTAGTCCTTCAGTACTCCTGCAAAGTGGGAGAGAAAGAGAATAGGGCATCAGGACAGCTGCTGCAGCAAGATAGTGAGCAGATGTTATATTTGTCAAACGGGTTCTTTGCAGCATAGCTGAGGGTCACTCAGCTTTCCCACACTTGAATGGAGAACACAGGCGACTTTAATACCTGACAAATCACTAACAATATATCTTTATGAAGTGTTGTCATTGAGAAATAAAAAGCTTTTATTTTCCCTCTCTTTTAACCCGCTGAACCTGGCGCACTCTCTTGGCTGCAAATTGAGGTCCCATTGTTTCCGCGGGTGATCCTGTGCCGTCTGCTGAGATGTCTGATTTGGAGTCGGGCATGACTCGGCAGCCAAAAAGTGTCGGGGGGGCTGGTGCCTGTGACGGCGCGTTCACACCTGTGACTTCAGCCTCCTGCAGTTCAGACAAAAGCTAAGGGAAAACATGAAACCCACGCTGTCTGTCTCGCCTAAGTCCCTGAAATATCGCTGGCATGTCTTTTCATCAAAGGCGAAGGGGGGGTGGGGGGGTGGGGGGGGTGGGGGTGGGGGGGTGGGGGGTGGGCAGAATAAATACAGGAATAAGAAAGAGTCTTGGCAGTGTGACAGCTCTTTGTGGTGAGTGTCTGCTCTCTTTTCCCTCTGCATGAATCTGGATCAGTTTTCAGAGACGGCTGGGGGCTGTGTAATCAGCAATATTGGTAATGCTCCAAAGTCATACACACGAATGTCTATAAAGAGTAACACTATAATATAATTTTAGGAGATTTACAGATTACTGTCACTGCAATGATAATATTACATGCAAATAAAGAACGCTGTTGATAAAACCATTTAGAAATGCAAAAGACACACTTGCAGCAGTCTGAATTGCAACTTTAAGGTACGTTTGACGTCAAACAGAAAATAAGATACTATTGGTGTGATGCCTGTGAGCTAGTTCAAGCAGATAATTTGTTGAGCTACTGCTACACATCACATGTGAAATACTTAACTCAAAATGTACCAGTAAACCTACACTGAATCCATATATGCATACTGCACCATTTATCCAGTGCACCCTTTGCAAGTAAAGGGAATATTTCAACCTGGAGCCCTGGGAAATATTTTGTGTCATGATGAAGCGGCAACATCCAAGGCTGAAAAATGAAGCCAACGCAGAAGTGCCAATAACTGCAGTTTCTGAAATGCCTCTAGAGGCTGGCTCCAAAAGTGAGTCAATCCCAATAGACCCCCATATTAAAAGGCCCAGCTTTACAGCAGAAATAAATACATTTGGAGCCTGGAACAAAAACAGTTTTGGTCTCTATAGTGAAATAAACAGTGTCATACAGATTTTTTATGACTCACTCATTTAAATGTTATTAAGGCTGACAGGTTGGGTTTCGTCCATTGACAGGTAAGTCTATACTGCAGCAACTAGGGTGAGTAACATTACCATGGTGTAACCCCAGATTCAGAGTGTAAAGGTGTAGCCATATGCTACTTACGGCTTTTTCTGTGTTTTTAGTTTTTGAAAATTTATTGTAATGTTTAAGTCACCTACAAAAGTTTTAAGCATGTTTTTCACTGGTGAAAATTAGCATTAGCATTAGTAGCTGTAAATGCAGTATGCCAACTAAGCTAACAGCTAGCATTATCTCCACCATGTAGTCAGTTCTGGCTCCAAAAAACAAGATGGTGATGGCCAAAATGCCAAGCTCAAGGCTTCAAAACAGGAGTCCACAAGCCAATTGGTGATACCATGGTGGCTACGTCCATTATTTTTACAGTCTATGGTCATAAATAATGGGAACAACAATTTCTGAAATTGATCCAATGTTGAGAGACCACACTGCAGCCAGCAGCAAAACTAGTGTGATATAATCTTCAGGGTAGTAGTACAGCATCAACAACATATGTCAACTAAAGTTGCTTCTTTTTGCCACTGGCAGGCTCAGATTGTTATTAAGTGTCTAACAGAGAAACATTTTTCTTTACGTGTACTGTTTGTTACTGTATTTAACCAAGTGTCGCTAAAGGAGAAGTCTTGAGAGTTTAATTGTTGCAGGAAGACATTAACAAACAGATTGGATCAAACGAAAGGTAAAATAAAAAGTTTTATTTCTTTGTAGGGTCCTCTCCATGTTGTCAGGCACTTACAATAACAATCTGAACCTGTTAGTGCCAAAAACAAGCACTTTTATTGAACACATATTGATGGTGCACTATTGCCCCAAAGATTACATTGCAGCCTGTTTCGTACCTACCAGCTGCAGGGATCTAGCTCTATACTGGACAAATCACTTGGACACATAAACATGAGAAAATGTGGTCCGGCTTGAAAAAGTGTCCTTTTGAGTGGTTTTGTTGCTGCTGCTGTAAACACCTGCTGCTGATGCTTGAGCTTACATTCCATACACAGGCTCACCTGCCAACAGCCAACAGCTTTGTTGAGGTACAGTCTAGTGCTACTACGACTGCTGATTTTCCACAACTTTGTGTTTCTGTCACATCATTTATCAGCTGTTAGGCTGAAACATGTACTGTAAGCCAGAGAATAAAACACTTCCTGTTCTTGCTGTCTGCACCTATGAACTGTTGTTAGGCTTCCCCAAAGGTTTACTCTCCTGGGAGATGCCAGAGATTGCTGCTTTTCTACACCAAGCGCCTGTGCTAACATGTTTATCACATAATTTCTCGGCATTGTTCAGGTTTTGTTTGGTTGATGCTATCAGTGTGCTGTGATGCTGCAGAGGCTCATGGCTGTTTGATTGCTCTCTCTCGAGCTTGTGGATGATATATTGGTGTCGGCCAGCTGCTCTGTATGCTTTCTCCTGTGTTTGTGTGCAATATCGGCATTGCTCAGAATTGGATTAAGTTCTTGTAGCGGCTGTGCTTATTTATGCAGTGGTGAGATATGAATATTCAGACTTTAGTGTAAAGCATGTTAGGAGCTGAATGGGTTCTGTGCAGAGGGTTGCATTGTTTTGGGAGTGTTCTTATTGGCTCACTGCAAACGTAGATCTCTGTTAAGCACTGGAGAAATATTTAACTCAAACGTAGCTGATTTATTCTCACTTTTCTCTTCTTCTTATCAGTTACTTCTAAACAGCTATGTTTCTTTTCTATGATTTACAGCATACACTCAACTGAGCTTACTGCTTTCTAAGCTTGCATCCACATACTGGGCATGTTGATGATGGTGATCTTCTGTTTAATAACACAACATAACATTTGATAAGATAATTGTCTGCCCCAAGCCATGAATAGTTGTTACTTTAACCCAGGTAATGTAGCCTAATATTAATCTGCTGTGTGGCTGACATGCCTTATCATTAATCATGTGAATTGCTGGGTGTAGACAGTGTTTGGGAAAGAAAGCAGGTGACAGAAAACTGTCAGTAGATAGAAAGAAAATCACTTTGCAACACCAGTGTGTCACAATTTTGCCACATACATTGCTTACGGAGAGCACAACAGTATGCTGAGCTATACAGAGACACGTCGACCACCATTCTGTTTGTAAAATTCCCGATGTAGTGTAGCAGATAATGATTTCTACACTGTGCTTGCAACACAATCCCTTGAGCTGTAAATAGGAGCTCCTACGTTATCACTTCCACATCACTGCACCCCGTCCCATACACCCGAGGTGTTTGCCTTTTTCCTTCTATTTACAGCAAACTGCAATAAGATTCACTGTAAATCCGCCAACATCCCTTTAGGCCCAGTGAGGGGAACGGAGGGCACAACTTAACACGCTCACTTTTTAATCCCAGTAAGTCCCCGCTCTGCTCTTTACGGGAGCCAGAGAATTAAAGCATTGCAGTCTGTTCCTAACTGGCATTGTAGGTCCATCAACCCATTACACTAACAACGTGGACAAAATGTTTAAAATAAACCTTACATTTCTGTTTGCCTTTCCAACAAAGTACATGAGCATAAGCGCTTTGCAATATAGGATTAGAGAGTGAAAGAAGGATCTAAATTCAGTTCAGTGTTACACTTAAGACTCAGATTAGCATTAGGTTGAGTATCTGCACAGTGGCATTCAATACAGACCAAAGCTCAACACCCACTGGGAGAATGATCTGCTCTGAACTTAAAGTGCTACATTCACCATATTGTGTTTTACAATAAATTCAACAGGTAAAAATGATTGATCTTATTATTTTATTTTATTTTTATTTTATGGTATTTTCTTTGTAATTTGTACTGTGTTTTCTACAGCTGCACATTTTTGAGTATTTGGTTGTTTATGTATTTCATATACAAACTAGTCTAGGGACCAGCATTTCAAATGAGCTTAGACTATAAATGTAATGATATGAGGGATTTGACTTTTTGATGATTATTCTGAGCTGTGAATCTGTCCCTAGAAAAATAATAAACACATCTTTCACCCAAGATTGTGAGAGATTGTGCATTCCTGAGGCAGGCAGTGGTGGCTCTGAAGAAAAACAACTCATACCCAAACAAGCACACTGGCGCACTTTGTCAGCCCTCCCACTTCAGGTAAACCAACACAATGACAGCTCTAAGTCAGCAGGGTCAGACTTTAACATGGCTTCAAGCAAACATGCACTGAAAACTTCATAAAATATCTCTGCAACTGAACATGTCCCCTGCGTCCTCTGAGCCAACGCAGCTGATCTACGGCGACATGTTTCTATATTTGTTTTCTGATTCAATTCAGTTATCACTTATCTTCATCACGTTAGGTATGAAATCTGGTATGAGAGGAATGTGATAAGGACTCATAAACACACAAGATACATTCTCTTTCCTTAACGCTACTCCAGACATGCTGATTTCCAAATCAGATTACACAGAAATGCTTTGTGAACATCCTCCGGCTTCCCATTGTCAATCTTTGCTGAGACTTCGTTGAGATAATAATAATCTGCTTGTTTCATCGCAGCAAAAACACACTGACTGGAAGCAAAATGAGCTGTGTGTTTTCACCCTTATCTCTGCAAAGCAAAGTTTTTTTTGTTAAGCAAGTGGGCAAATAAAATGCAGA